GGCAAAAATGCCAACAAAAAAAAGCAAGCAGCTCTTGAAAATTGTTTCAGAATCATATAAACCAGACTTCACATTAACTAATACTATTACCTGACTACTGCTACCTACTATTTAACTATTAATTAAGCTACTTGATTTTTCATATTTTTCATATATATTAACATATTCTAATGTAAGACGCCACCAACAGAAAGTGTCACTGGTTGAAGTATTTACATACATAACGGCTGTGTATTTCCAGTTCGTGCGTTTGTGCGTTGAATATTTTTCCAGATATTTTACTGAATGAGAAAACTTTTTTATTGTATTTTGTTTATGTTTTTGTCATTCTTCCAAAGTCCTGAATATTTTATGATGAGGAAAGACACTGCCCAAATTTCCACAACAGTGGACTATGATTTTGAATTTTTTTTTACATTGACATGTTTGTTCTGTCGTTGTTGTCTTTTGTTGAAGTTTGTTGTCTGAAATATACAAAGCTTAAATGATTCCAGGTCCCAGGAGAATTTGTTGTTTAAAATGTTTTTCATTAAAATCACTTAAACCGTGGCTTTTCGTTAAACACTCTCGTCTTCCCGTCTCTGATCCCCTCCATCACCCGTCCTTTCCACTTCTTGTGGTTGTGCACTATTTTCAGACCTGACAAATTTACTGCATCTGAAAGTTGTTACTTTTTTCTTTTTAAGTTATTTTTTGGGGTATGTTATGTCGTTATTTGACAGGAGAGTGTACAGCGACAGGAAATTGGGGGACAGAGAGAAGAAGCAAAGAGTCGGGCCAGTCGGGAGTCAAACGGGGGACTTGGTTAATCAGAGCATCTGTGCTCACGTGGTATGCGCCCTAACCACTTGGCTATCGAGTCACCCAATGATTTATCATTTTTTAATTGCCTTTGATAATCAGGTGATGTCTGCACTGTTTCACCTGCCCTTAAGGTAAAATGGTGGTCTCACCTTGACTAGATACTAGAGAGCCTGGGACAAAATCCAGACTGTCAGAAATTTAGGATGACCATCTCAGAATGTGACTGCTGCTATGACCTATGTCCACGAACCAACCAATAGAAACGCAGCATGAAATGACGCACTGATCAACGGGTTGCTTAGCTCCATTGTTTACCACTGTACCAGCACAGATGGATGACGCACAGTCATTATTGTGCTCTTGTGTTGTAGCATACAATTTAGCAGGTGCCATCATCGTAGAGTCTACTTACATCAAAACTTTATTTTTGTGGGGCATTTTTGCCTTTATTCGGATAGGACAGTGAGAGATAGACAGGAAGGTCAGGGAGAGAGAGAGAGAGGGGATGACATGCACCCGTGGGTCGGATTCAAACCCACGGCCACTGCGGTTTGGACGAAGCCTATGTGGTATGCGCTCTACCAGGTGAGCCACCGTGGCGCTCCTACACACATCACACCTGATGTTGTCCCCAGGTTTATTAAGGTCCGTGTTGCACAGTGTGGCTTGCAATAAACTGAAGATTGCTGAAATCTTGCGTTTATGCGTGTGAGTGCAGGAGGTCTTCTTTCACTGTAGAAACTGCAGCGCTGACTCCATCTCTCCATGTACATATAGCTGTTAAGCATGATATCTTGCTTAGCTAATCACCCTGTGGGCCTTTTCACATGCAGGTTTTCATTTAACCAAATTAAATACACGCCTGATTCATCAGTTTGGCTCGATGAAACCAGCTGACACACTAACACAGTTCATCGTTGGGCGAACAACCTGCTGAATGGAGGTGTTGAGCTGACATGCCCCGGAGTATGAGGTCAAACACTAGCGCATTGACCTGTGGCCTCTGTCCATTCAGGAGTCATTTTCAGCCTGCCATGGCTCTTTTGTCTGCTTCTCATATCTCTCCATTAACCTCCAACTACCAGGCACCTACGCAACCTCACGCTCCTGACAGTAACCCATGTCCCCCAGTGTCCACTGGACTGAATGTGTCCTCTGAGCGTTTGGGAAGCCTGAGCTGTCACACGTGTGCAGAAATATCTTAATGCGAGTCAGAGAAGGGGGCGGGATCTTCGAGACTGACACCTGTCAAACTCGCTCATGTGGCACAGGATCCACCTGCTCTGTCTCACTCAAACTCTCTTATTTTTCTCAGTTTTTGGCTCATCTCATGTCCTGGGGCCCTGAAGTCTTTGTGCTTCAGTAGTGCTGGGCTCAGCATGCTGCCTGTGTCCACACACTGCTGCCTCAGCACTAATAAGGCAATAGAGTGATAGAGAGAGCGCCGGAGTTGTCTGCTTTCAACATCCCTACTCAACCGTACCCTCACCTAACCCCCCACAGAGACACCATTAGCAAATCTATTGAGGATCCCATATTAGGGAAAACATTAAGGAGTCTAATTGTGGTTCTGAACTGGGACTCACTGCGTGTGTTAAGTTTTGTAACCACTCTAATGAGTTGCAGTGTTTCCTCCAATGGGTTTATTGCCCTACATTCCAATTTGAGCCATGTCACTGACCACTGGGGCATCTCCTAAAATAGCTCAACCCACATGTCTTACAAAAGAGGATTCTCAGAGGCCATGTGTTTAAAGGGTAATTACGCTCTGTTACAACTTGGGTCTTGTTTTGTGAAGTTTGGGTCATTACTTATATCTGTTGTAAGAGAAAGGCATCGATACAAGAAAGTCAGACAGGGCAAGAGACATGAGCGGTCAGGTGATCAGGTGGGTTAAAAAGGAGCCAGCATCAAACTGTGCGTGTGCACCCACACACCAAAGCACCTCAAAGCTGAACCAGGAAATCGGTCGGTAAATGGATGATGTTTATAATGCCTTCATTTTCTCTTCCATATAAGTCTGGCTGACATGGGGTTTATTTGTCTGTCTGATCATCTGTTTGCTCATATTTTTAGTGACTTTTTAGTGATGTTAATGCTTTCTCAGCTCTCAGCAAAAAACAAAACATAAACCTGAATGATCCTTTAATGATAAATGTGGGAAAGTGATGTTATTGGACAGTATTATGAACTAGCTACAGTACAGGATGATTTATTTGTATGTCCGTAGGCCACTCAGAGAGCAAACACTCTCCATAATACTGTCACATGACGAAGAGCATGGGATGCTCTGGACACCAAACATATGATCACAATGTCCTCCCTATTTTCAGCTGGTCCGCTCAGTCTGTGTGCTCACTTGTAACAGACTGTGTGTGGTGTGTGTGTGTGTGTGTGTGTGTGTGTGTGTGTGTGTGTGTGTGTGTGTGTGTGTGTGTGTGTGGTATCCTGTAGCTTGTGTGGAGGACGCTCGACTGGAGCACCGGCTCTGTGTAACAGGAGGAGATGACTGGAACATGTGGCCCTCAGTGTGGCGCTAAAAACAGCCTGACAGCTGAGTGTGAAGAGCGAGTAAATGAAACTGGGACAGCACCTGACCACGGGATAGATGGAGCTCAGAAACATTTCTGAGTGACACGAATATTGGATCATAAAAACGCCAAATATACTTAACACTATTTATTGCAAAGTTTACTAGAACTATTCCATGTTTGGTTTTTGGATGTTTCACTGTGAATGACAGAATTAGCAAAGGAAACGTATAAGGCATTACAACTTGAAGTTAATAACATAAGAGCTACTAATTCCAGTCTTTCCTTCAACCATTTTGGGGGATCAGCTTGTTTGCTGTTTTGCCAGAAGTCGGATGGGAGGTTGATGTGTTCACTCCATGGTTTTGTCTTCTTAACTGACTTGATGGCCACTGGCGAGCCCACATTCAGGAAACACTGGCTTTTGTTTTTGGGAAAGTGTTAACCCAGTGTCTTTATTCTCTAGGAATAAACAAATGTGAGGCAATGTAAAGTAGAAAAACACAGATTAATCCAGAGGAGTCTCATCCATGAAAGGCAATTCAAACCATTTCAAATGATATTACAACAATACCACTGAATAAAAAGGTCTCCCTCCACCAGTGGTAGCACTGAGCACACTGCAGAGATGACTTATGTCATGACTTTTGTTGTGACGTTGCACCAGGCTGCTGCTGCTGCTGCTGCTGCTGCTGTTTTTTAAAAAAAATACTGAATACTTATGAAGATTGCCTATTGTTGTTCAGTTTGTATTTCAGCATCCTTTGCGTCATGAACGTAATGATCCGCTGTGTGACTCAAATGTCTGGGGCCTGGGAGAAGACCGTCCCGGATCAGGGCTGTGTGAGGACAGGGCTTCTGCAGTGCTGGTGACTGGATTGCAGTCGTCAGGGGCGGAGCTAGCTGTTAATCAGTAAATACCTCCAAACTGTGGGCTGGCTGCTTGCTGAACACATTGTCTTGTTTTCGCTTTCTAAACGTGTTACCTATAGAGGATGTGACGTGTGGGTGTGGCGGCTCGGAAAGCATCTTTGACAGAGCTGAGAAACAAAAAGGTTATTTAACAAGTAATGCCACATTGTTTCTGCTTTTGAGTGATTAGTTGAGTGACATGCTTACTTTTAAATGAGTAATTCATTACATTTTTCAAGTAACTTGGTCATCATCTTTTTTAGTTTAGGAGAAATAAGAGATTGTTCCTCTGTGTGTTTTCACCACAATCTGACCACTGTTCCTTCAGCTCTTTCTTAATCCTCAGGGGGCAAACCAAACTTACCCTGGTCATTTCCCTCCAACCAAAAACTCTCTCTCTCTCTCTCTCTCTCTCTCCCTCTCCCCACTGTCCGCTGTGTCCAGGCTTCTCTGTGTGATCACCCTCTCTCTCCTTCAGAGCAGGATTGGTCAGTCCCCCACCCTCCCTGCGGCCCTCCCCTCCTTCTCTCTCTCTCTCTCCCCACTTAAATACTTTTAGCATAAAGAGAGAGAAGGAGGGGAGGGAGAGGGGGATGGGAGATCCATGGGGGAGGGGAGCTGAGTGCTCACTCTGTTGTCACTGGCCAGAGAGAGAGAGAGAGAGAGAGGTAGAGAGAGGGAGGGAGGGAGAGAGAGTGTAGAGTTGTGTCCCATATGTTGAAAAAAAGCATAGCAGTGCACACACACGGGTCTGGTCTACTCCAGGGATTATCCTAGCGCTTTCAGATCTGATGGAGGACATGCAGGCATGAATAGGTAAGGCTGCCTGTCTTCTCTGCATCTCTGTGTTGATCTGCTGTCATCGCCCGCCGCTCTCCCCGCTGTTTGACTTGGCTCCGCCGAAGTTGGAAGAGCTGAGCGTGTTGTAGCAGCTCTCCTCTTTGGCCGCTGACCATGAGACATTTCCCTGAGCAAACCAAGCCTCCTGCCTCTGCCTCGTCCTTTCAGCCTCTCTCTGAACTGTGCAAGTACAGAGCTGTGTTTGCTTTAAGTGGAAGCTGTGGTTTGCCGCCGTAGTGTAGTTAGTTATTCTGGGCTGAGTGTTAAAAGTTGACTGTCAGTCAGAGCAGAGGGGGTCGTAGTCGGAGGCGGTGTTGTATGTGAAGCCTGTTGGTGTCCAGGGACAGCCGTGTGGTCATTGCGTAATTTCACTTCTCTATGAACGGTACATGAGTGAATGTACATTGCTAACTGCCTTGCGGTTTGTTTTTACACATGCTAAGACAGATGTCTCTGTGACGACTCCAACAATATGCAAAAACACTAAAGGTCACAATGTTGCATGAGGTAAGATACTGGTGTCAAAAAGCTGTTGGATATATTTGAGATTCTGTGACGTTTTGTTACATTGTTTTTTAAAGCCTCCTCTTTACTTATAGATGGATTATATATTTACAGAAGCATTTATATGTATGTGTGTATTTGTGGATAAAAAGTTTTCAGATTTTAAAAACTGGAAGACAATTTCAGTTATTTGTCTACTGCTTTTACACAAAGCAGCTTAGCACCAATGCGGATAAAAACTGTGCTTTGGTGTCCGCGGAATTGAGAAATAACACAAATGGCTGCGATGAAACAACAAAATTTTCAGACAGTTGTTTTTAATCTCACGGGTCTGCTCAGAGAGGTGCTTTGTATCAGAATAAAACAATAAAACCTGGAGGATTAAACTGCTTTTAATCTGTGCATGATTAAAATGTGACATTTACAACCTTAACCCAGAATACAGGTTATTTATCCTCATTTTTGAAAATGGACAAACACAGTAAGTTGAATTAATTTATTTCCTCCATTTTTTGAAAAGTATGATTTCATATTTTTACAGTAACACAGTATAATTTTTTTTAGATAGCTCGAAAAGTGATTTTTTTTTTCCTCTGCACTTTGCGTAAGCTCCAAAAGTGTTTAGTGTCCTAAGAATGCAGTCTTTATTGCCCCAGTGCACAGAGCAGTGGTATGCATGAGTCTTTTTGTGAGGCAGATTTAGAAAGCCCTCTTTAGAGGCTGAACGCAGCTTCACAATCAGCTTAATGCCTGCCTATAATGAATACCCTTGTGTGCGTCAATTTGGCAGAGTGTGTGTATTTGTGAGACTGTGTGAACTCTGTTTTTGTTACACTGATAGCGTTCTCAGGTTGGTCAGTAATTCTATCATACTCTGAGTGAATTGTGTTCTGTGTGTTTAGGTTTGTGTTGCCGTGTGAGCTTGTGTGATTGGTCGGTTGACCTGTGAGTGTTTGTCCAGACATTGTGCAGCAGCGTGTAACTGCCTCACCTCTCTCTTCCTCTCTCTCCCCCTCTCTCTCTCTCTCTCTCTCTTTCTCTCTCTCAGGGTTGTTCTGTTGTCAGTGCGAGCTCATGCCAGTGATGGACTACAGCCGGACGGATGCTAACCTTAGCTGGCATTCACAAAACAGCATTCCTCCTTACTGAGACCAGCTCCACAGAATGCTGAGTCCTATTGTCCCCTATAGTGAGTACACTGCACCCTTCTTTCTGTCCACACAGCTGCATGTCACACCAAACAGCCTCACTTGACTCAGTTGGACTTTGCCTGAATCAATGAGCCTCTACTCAAAAAATAAGCAGGAGTGGACACTGTGTTCTGTGGTTTGCAAACAGAAAGAAAAATGCTCAGGTAACGGTGGACATGCCTCAGTGCAGAAACTTTTTCCTTGACGTGCGCTGTGGAAATGCTAAACCCTGCGCACTGGCCCTGTCTGAATGTTTCATCATCAGGCGGAAGGCACAGATGGGGGGAGGAAGAGGGACAGAGGGAGGCTGGAGGGCTGATGGTCTAAGCAGCAGAAACCCCTACGTTCTGTCAGTGTCATTTTACCAGTCCAGCTCAGGACCCACCACCATGCTGCCTCCTGATCTCCCTCCTTTTTGCCCTGCTCTCTGTTTTCTCCCCTCAGTGCTGACCTAATAACTGACGTGTCCAGTTTTGCCCCCCCCCCCCGGCCGCCTTCGCACCCTCCCACCAGGTTTCATTTGAGTCCAGTGCTCTGGCTCTCCAAAACAGCATTGTTTGCTGGTCAGCATGGGGCTGCCTCCGTGGCCTCGGCTTCAAGAGCCCCTTTTCCCCAGCTCTTTAACTCGCCTCACAGGAGCATTATTGGCATGACTGTTACAAGAAAAGAGGGAAATCACACAGAAGGGTTAATTTAAAAAGTATTACTTCATAATTGGTGGTAAAAACTTAAAAAATGGGTTGCAGAGGCAGTGTAAGACAAGTGTGTGGGTGTGTGAATTCAAACGGGACAAAACAGCTTGGAAAAAGCATCTTGAGAGGATGTTTGACAGTAAACACTACACTTTGTTTGCATTTTGTGAATTTCACCCTGGAAATAGCCGATGTTATTATTTGAACACTCATCAGATGAATGGAATTCAGAATTGTTGCCAGCTGAACAAGTAGTTGACCCTATGTGTTGTTTTGAAACATGTCCTCTCACAAGTGGCTCTTAATGTCAGCTCTCCCAGAACATGTTTTTTTCCCATTAAATTATGTTTATAGCTACAAACCCAATTAGGTTGAGTTGCTCAAATAACACTCATAGACCGTTTGTTCTCAAGGGCATGCATGCATGCTTGTGTTGTTTCTCACAAATGCTTGTTTAACTGCTCGTTCCATCAGCTCCCTGAACCCTGCTAGTCCATACTGACTGAACACGCTCACTGCTGCTGCAGTGGACAGCACGTCCAAGAATGTCACAAACTGCTGGTGGAATTGTTAGCATGTCTTCAGAGCTGGCAAACTGCTGGTGCTTCATGGGAATCTTCTGTACGTACCAGCCTTTGTGTGTGTGATCGGGTTTTATGATCAGGACGCACAAAGCTGGTTTTCATCTGCTCTGTCCAACAGCTCGATGGTTTCTCGTGCACAGAGTGGCTCTGTTCTGCAGCGCTTCTGCGTTTCAGAACAGCCTGCCTAGTGTGAGTGTGTGCAGACAGAGGGATCGTATGGGCGCACACAGCAGTGTTAGGTAGTCACGCTGTTTACTCTCAGACCAGTGACACACAAACACACGCCGGTGACACTGCAGCTCACTGTCTTTCAGTAAAAGACTGTAGTCATGATTCTGCTGAGCAAAAATCTGACTGTGAGCGACTTTGCAAATGTGCAGGACATGTGAAGACTCTCACCTCCGTGTTGAAATTCCCTTTGTGGGAATGTCGAGCATTCCGACATCCCAACCTTATTTCTGATTCCTGCTGTAGGCATTACTGCCTCTGCACATGGACCGGTCACAGTGTATGAATGCGTGACACAGTTAGGACAGGTACGCCCATCAACACACTTCACTCTTTGTTATCAGGACTGCTCTAACATATCTAGTCTCAATTATTTAAATCCCACATGCAGCCAGTGTGTGTGTGTGTGTGTTTGTGTGTGTCTCATTCTTCCTTGATGTGTCCGGCCTTGGTCCTCGTCTCCGGCCAGTCCAGAGGACTTCAAGCTGGGGCGAGCAGCCACGGCTGGACCTGAGAAGAAACCCGAGAGAGATTCCAGGGGCCATGGATACTCCTGGAGGGATTTGGTGCAAAGAATCTGTAATCTGCACTTCAAACACACTCTTAAATCAGTCCCAGGCCGCCAACCCAGGAGTGCCCTAACTCTTGTTGCTGGGGCCCCTGCTGGTGTAGCGATACCTTTTCTTTTAAAACAGCACACATACACACACACACACACACACACACACACACACACACACACACACACACACACACAGGGCAACTACACACAGGAGTCCAGATCTGGCAGTTTTTATAGCTCTCCTCTGACTGACCCCTCTCCCTCTCCTTTCTCTTTCTGGTTCTGTTTTTATGTTTTGCACGAGTGTCTTTGTGAATGACTCGGCTAAGTCATGGAATAGTTTGTATAGAAAAAAGAAGGAATAGATCTCATCCTGGCCCCTGAAGGAGCAGGGTGGAGGGCCATGCAAGCATCTACCCCTATTGTAGGCAGAGTGGTATGAGTGGTGCAGTGGAGGGGCCTGTGAGGCCCTTGAGTAAACACACAGCCTGCTAAAGTGTGTGTGAATAAGAGCCGAGATCATTAGTGTAGGGTGTGAATGGGCTCTAATTAGCCCCCAGTCTCGCGTGTGTGTGTGTGTGTGTGGTTGTGGGTATGTGTGTGTATGTGTATGTTTGCATGCCTCTGTGTCCACAAGAAAAGAAGGTTAGGGACCCAGGGCCCCGTGAGTCCACTGGCCCCCTGCTCTGTCTCTCTGAGGGTTCATCAGCTCATTAAGGAGACCTCCGCTCCCGTTAAGGGCCCAATTAAGAAGCAGGGTGGTGAGGCTCATTTGGATGGCAACACTTCACTGGATTCCTGAGGCAGCAGAATTCAGAGCTCGACAATGAGACACAACGTCTTTCACACCAGCACAGCTAATTAGTAAATGACTACACTTGAGAAATAACATACTTAAATCGTTATGCCATTAGGGTGTTTGTAGTGCAGTGATCATAAAACGCGCTGCCATAGCGGGGACCGCGGCTGTTGAATTTATTGAGCTTTCTGTAATTTGTGTGTGTACTAACAGAAAACAACAAATCCCATAGCTGTCCATGTGCTGAGAGTATAATCTGGGAGAACAGAGGGGCCAGGGGATTTGGACAGACAGAAGGANTGCGTTAGCAGGCACGGGGGATGGGGGAGTTGTTTCTAAAATTACGAGCATGAAGTGACGCATCCAGCAATTATTCCGGAGGCTTTCTAGTTTTGGAGCGTGCTGAGAGCAGGGCTGTAAAATGAGCACGCACTCAGATGGGAACTTGCTTTTTTGCGTTTCCTTTGACTCTAAACACGTTTGCAAATGAACCAATGTTTAACAAACGCCATCAAGTAGTTCGGCTGCTGCTCCGCTCCATCCACTCTGCAAAACAGCAACTTTTAATGACGATGTGGATATTTGTTCCCTGCCGATGAATTGGAGATGTACCACACAGAGGCTTGTTTCATTATGTTTATTGATTGGTTTTGAAAAATAATTGTCATTTATGCTAAGTATATTTTATTAGACAAGGGCAGTATGATTTTATTATTCTTCAAAATGCAGTACAGTGTTGTCATATTGTCCTTCTCTTATAATAAAACCATATTAGCTGTACATGCTGACAAAAACTGTTCTGACAGCTGGCCTGAAACATTCCCAAAGGGGCATGAAACAAAAAATAGAGCAAGTCAAACTGTCATTCTGATACATGGAGTACAGATAGCTCCATCCACAGAAAGAGGAAAGTACAGAGATAGGGACAGAGAGAGAAACAAACACACACACACATAGGACATCCCTCAATGCCACTGCAGGAGATGGGCTCCTTCCTCCTGGGATCGGACTGGTGAGGCGTGNGAATGCGACATTGGTCACTGGGAATGGGGGGAATGAGGGAGGTGGAGAAACAGAGAAACAGGGAAAGAAGGAGATTGCAAGGAATAACGGCAAGGAAGGATAGAGCTGAATAGGGTGAGATAGAACAGAGATTGGGCAAGTGAGACAGATGGAAGGGGTGATTGGTCATCACAGAGCCTTAGGACAGCTGTTCTTTGATATATTAGTGGACACAATGACCTAAAGCCAGCCCGCAGTCACAGAAAATAGGAACCCTGTTTTTCTTGAAGGGGTGGGGGGGGTGG